CGGGGCGGGGCCAGTGTGCGAGTCCTCCTGCAGGTGGCCCCTCTCAAACTGACGCAGAAGCTGCGGCAGCTCTCCACCTTTTTTCTGCTGTTAGCACCTGAGAAAAGTTACACGCACACGCTTCGGTCTTTTCCAAGCTTTAGGTCCTTTCTCCTTCGCAAGGAATTTGCCCTCTTCCATCGTAGAATGGCAGTTCCCCGAAGTGAAAGACCAGAAGCCGCTGCCCTTGGGAGGAGCTCTGAGAACCCGTTTTTTGTCCATTCTGCCCTTAGAACTCATTCAGGTTCCAGGGCACATTGGTTACTTCTGTGATCTCAGGGGTCTTATATGTACGATAAGCGAAGTCCTATTCACAGATCTCAGCCTGGTGTCCTAAAAAGCAGCCGCTGGAGTCAGAGTTGGCTGAGATCTCACACAAATTATCTCCTGCAAAGCCTTACAGTCCACCAGTGTACAGTTTAATAATACCACTCTTCCCCACTGCTTTGAGAATTCCATTCTACCACTGAATTATACTCTGGCCCTTAAAAAAAAAAAAGTAAAGAAAAAACATCACTTTTCTAATACATTCTACTTTAAATTCAGATATTTACCAAGAACTCAGTGCATGCAGAATGGTGAGTTGGGTTGCAGAAAATACAAAAAGCAGAAAAACATACTCCCTGCCCTCAAAATATTAGCAACGTACAATTAATTTTAATCAATTAGTGTGTACTATTGAACAAAACTATGGTTTTCGTGTGTGTGAATTCTTTGATCTTGAGTCATGTTTTTCCTTGCCATATCCAAGAAAAATCTGCAAAACTATTGGCCAAATATATTTCTTTAAATTAAGTATGAAATTAACTTAAGAATAAATTGGCCAGGCATGGTGACACTCACCTGTAATCCCAGCTACTCCAGAGGCTGAGGGAGGAGAAATACAAGTTCAAGACCAGCCTGGGCAATTTAGCAACACTCTATATCAGAATTTAAAAGGTAGAAAGTAGCTCAGAGGTAGAGCACTTGCCTAGCATGCATGGAATCCTGGGTTGAATGCCCATTGGTGCAAAAAAAAGGATATATAAGTCTTTCCAGTAAAATCATTTCATCATCAATGTCCATAATGATGTGCTAATTATATTCTTCAAAATGCACTTTTAAGTACTTGTCTATTTTTAAAAATGAGAGAAAACAAGAAAAAGATTTTTGATTGATGCTTAGACCTATAGTTGATGACATAAATAAACATCAGGAGACTGAAATAAAAGTTCTTTAGCTACCTCGGTATATACATTTATCTGGATAGAATTAGGATTACCAAAGGATCCCTTTCTCAAGGAGTTGATGGTATTACGAAGAACATGTAACATTCTTAATGTATTTAAAAGACATCCCAAATTGCCTACAGTTAATTTTCTTCTATATATTCAGGGAGCACAAAGCCAGTTTTGCAAATGGTCCAGATACCTTGCTCCAGACCTTGCCATCACAGGCATATGTACCCATAAGAATTAAGGCCTGAAAAACCTAAGGTAAAAATAACTTTGTGTCTGGTTTTGCTTACTGTGTGAAAAGTAAAAAGAACATTCAAATGTTCAGATTGGAACCAAGCATTTCATAATGTCATTAGGGTTGAAACCAAGTAGAAAATAAACTAATTTTCTACTGAGCTAGGAGTCAAATTTAATCATTTTTTACGTCTCTGAAACCGGCTTCGAAGGTTATTTTTAAGACCTCAGTTGGGTCTTGACAAGAATTATCTGGCTCACAGTCTTCTAATAACTGTTTGGAACAGAAACAAACTTAGGAGGATAGAAGCCAAGTACAAAGATTCTTGTGACTGGGGTTTCAACACAACCAAAAAAGGAAAGAAGATCTTCACAATACTTTCTTAAGATTCAGAATTGAGGCCCAGATTGTAAGCCCAGGATATTATTTGGAGTCATACTTCAGTTTCTGGGACCTTGCTTGATACAGAACTTGACTAAGTAAAAGTCCCACTTCCAGGTAAAAGATATCAGGAGCCTACAATCAAACCATCAAAAAGTACTTCCTGAGCACCTGCTATGTGCCTAGACTATGGATAGAAATCCTGCCCCCATCTCTACTCTATACCCCAAGTCACATGACTATGCTTTTCCTTGAGAGAAGCCCCACACATTTAGCACAAAGTATGTAATGGTCCATGATGTTCATATCCCAGAGTTCGTGTTATTAACAGTAAATGCTGGCCTAGTTCTGAGAAGGAAGAAATAATTGCAGACAAGAATAGAGATGAAACTATATTTGCTCTTCAGTATGTTTTCTGTTTCCACTTTGGCTTTTTGGGTAATAATTGTTTGTTGGAAATTTTTTCTGTCAGAAAAGGCTTGAAATCTCCACCTAGTGCTTCATCAATCCAGTTTCTGAGATATTGTTTTGCACTGATCATTTTGCACTTATTCTCAACTCTTATTCTCAACTTATTCTCAACTCTGAGTAATTCTATGTTTTGATACATATGAAGAAAAACTAAAGCTTATAACCTGACAGTGCAAGAAATGATCCCCCCAAAATCTTATTTTTCATAGCCTCCTGTGTATTTTTCTGGCTGATGCCAAATCCCAGAATATGTATCTAACAGCTAATAAGTTAATACTTGTTAATGAATAAGAGAAGTCAGGGGTAGGCCAGCTCTTGGCTTTTCCCCCACTCAAAAGTTAAGTAATGGAGGACAGGAGACTAATTCCTAGGCACCTTTCGGTTTTAATATGTTTGACCCTGGGAAATTTAACTGCAGAATTGTTTTCTTTACCATCCTGCTGTTTGGCCTGCATAATTTTTTTTTGTTGTTGTTGTTTTGTTTTTCTCCGGTACCGGGAACCAAACTCACGACCTTGCATTTGCCAGGCAGGCGCTTTGCCACTGAGCTAAATCCCCAGCCCCGGCCTGCATAATTTTTATTGAACTTTTATGTGCCAATCACTAGAGTAAGCTTTTTACGTGGCTTGTTCCATTTTTTTCCATTATAGTAACCAAAAAAGTAGATAAGGAGATTTTTGAAGGGATTAACTAAGTAATTTCTCAGAAATATATGCTGATAAAACACCTAAAAATAGTACCTAAAAACAGAAGAATTAAATGAAGTTAGTTTTTATTAGAATTAGGAAGCTAATATTTTTAAAGTATCAAGTTCCAGGCTGAGTACAGTATTGTTTAATGTAAAGTTCATGATAACTACCCTATGTATGAGTATTATCCCTATGTTATAGTTGCTAACCTGAAGCTTAGCAAATCATCTGCTCAAAGCTGCAGTGCTAATAAGAGCCTAGCTCTCCGTGTGTCTCGGTCAGGACAATCCGTGTTCTGCACTAAGAAGCCTTCACTGCTTGGCTGGTGTTATAGGCCATAGTCATGAGTTTTCCTGTCTGACCTCTTGCACACTTTGCTCCAGACTCATCTCCTAATGGAGACCTCATTGCCCATTGGTCATTTACATCTTTGACTAAATTTCCTATCCATTTTTTGGAACCATTATCAGCTTTCACCCTGTTATCTCAGTCAGGAGTCATTTGTAAGACTTATAACACAGATTGACTTGAGCTAAAGAGGGAGGGAATTGCTTCAAATAACAGAAAAGTCCAAAAGTGGTTACTTTAGACACATGGGGATTCAAGAACTCTAACAGTGTCATGAGATATTTCTTTCTGCCATATTCTTCCTTTGCCATGCTACTTTTCCTTTCATGGTTGACTGCACATTTAGTACATCTTTAAGTGGTAAGCTTGAGAATGCAGAGAAAACACTATGATTTACCAACTCCAATGGAAAGCATGCTGCTTTCTGTAATTGTTTCAGTAGAAGTCCCAGAATTCTGTTTCTATTATGACTTAGGCTATGGTGCCTGGCAAGCGCAAGGTCGTGAGTTTGATTCCCGGTACCAGAGAAAATCCAAAAAAAAAAGAAAAAAATGACTTAGGCTATGGGTCCACCCATAAATCAAATATTTTTGAAAAAAGCAAGTAATATTATGTTTTGTCAGGTCTAGATCTCAGTCTAGCTGGGACCCTTAGCCAAGCCACTGAGACAAAAATAGGGGCTTTTCATGTTAAGTGAAATAAGTCAGATACACCTGGTTAAATATGTCATGGTTTCTCTTATATGAGAAACACAAATTATAAATAAAGAGCAAAGTAAAACAATGGGAAGTAGGGAGATAGATGTTTCTCAAATGAAAAGATGATCAAGATAGATGGAGAAGGGCGGGAAAGAAGAAAAAGAGGATGGAAACAGGAAAAATGTGTTACATGCATGTTCCAACTCCACACACATGTAAATGTTATGTACTAGAAACATGTACTAATAAAAAATAAAACTGAGAAAATCCAAAAAAAACCAATATCAAATCAGCTTCCTCTGAATTTGAAACATTAGCTTAGCTTTCGGGTAGATAAAGTTCAGCAGATCGCCTAGCTTATAAATATTTTCAATGGAATGTAACATAAGTAACCTCAGATTATTTCTAAAAAGAATAGTTTTCAATATGTAGTCACATTCCTGAAACCATAGATAATCACATAATCATATGTTAAATTAAACCAAGGTTTTCTGAAGATTATTTTTGTGAGGAGTCACTTTTAGGTCCAATAAAGTATCTTTCTGGCATGGTATTTTACTGACCTTTCATGAAGGAGAAAATGGAGACACATGAGGATGGAATGACTTACATTCTCTTTAAATGGGAAATTTACCTAGAAGATTATATAATCTGCAGCGCATTTGGAATTAGCTACCATTTGTAGTCTGAAGTCCCTTGCTTAGATAATGCATTAAGTTTAATTGAAGAACTTCTAAAAATATGTCACTTTAGGAGTGAGGCACTAAGGATCTAACC